CCGCACGGTCGACCAGATGCCGTGGCTCTGCTTGCTGCCGTTGAGGAGTGCTTGACCTAGATAAGTCCCTGATGTGGTTGAAACACACCTCGGCGTTGGAAGGAGCGGGCCAGAAGAATTGCGCTTGACATTTACGTCTTTGGCTTGATAGACTTATGAAGAAAGTTTGTTCCTTGGCCTTTTGCCTCAAGTAAATCTGTAGTGTTATTTATTTATTTCTAACAGTAAGAAGCCCAGCAAGAGTTTTAGAATTTTTTGTTTGACCTTTTTAAAGTAAGCTAAAAGAAAAGCCACTTCAGAAGGTGAAGATACTCGATGGGCGTAGAACTGAAATCAACAGAGAGAGAGTTAAAAGTACTGAGTGTTTGCTGGCATCAGACTCTGATGGCATGATGCATACTTTCTTAGGAAATACCTCCCAGGAGAACTGAAGCTACCTCATTCCAAAGCCTTTAATGCGTCCAGATCACTTAAATTTTTACTTACGTCTGTTTGCCTGTTACTCAGTCTTGGTAAATGGAATGAATGAGGTTCGCTAGATGGGTTGTGCTCTGTTTTGGCTTTTTCGTCTCCTTGCTGAATTGTGAGAATCTTCTTGCCATTTAAACTCACCCTGCTTAGTAGAGTTTGGACCTCGCTGTTAAAAACTTTTCAGAAGTTGAAAACTTTGGGGAGGCAGGTAGGGGTTAAATGGTTTGAATGCAGTTGCTGAACCGGGAAGAGGCCAGGGGATGGCTTGGAGGCTGTAAATAGAGTCCTTGGGTGTTGACCATCAGCATCTGATTCCCTGTGCATCCTTGGCAGGAATTTTTTTCCCCTCAGTCTTGCCAGATCACAACAAATATGTTTTAATTTTAAGGATAAATGCAGGGTGATTGGAAGATAGATGTCTCTATTGGACAGGGGAAACGAGTTCATAAAATCAGCTTTTTATTGCCCTTCAGTTTCTCTGTTGAATACTGTATTCTGCTGCCTCTGTTATTTTCAAGGCTTGGACTCATTTTGAGATTGAGAGAGAGGAGCTCGGAGAGTTTGAGAAAAAGACACTTCGTTAGTGAGTGACTCAAAGCCATTGGAGTCACCTTTCGTGTCCTAAGGGCTTGCTGGCTCAGCCTGTAATCCCAGCACTTTGGGAGGCCAAGGTGAGTGGATTGCCTGAGCCTACAGGTTTGAGACCCACATGGGCAACTTGGCGAGACCAAATCTCTACAATACATCAAAAATTAGCCGGGCGTGGTAGCGCGCGGCTGTAGTTTCAGCTACTTGGAAGGCTGAGGTGGAAGGATCGCCGGAGCCCAGCAGGCTGAGGCTACAGTGGCCGGGAGTGGTCACTGCACTCCCGTCTGAGTGACAGAGTGAGACTCCAACTCAAAAAAAAAAAAGAGCTTCTCTCAAGCCGTCACGATGGCTCATACCTGTCATCCCAGCACTTTGGGAGGCGGAGGTGAGAGGATTGCCTGAGCCCATGGGTTCGAGAGCAGTCTGGGCAACTTGGCGAGACCTCATCTCTA